TAAGCAGTAGCCACTTGAAGAAAGATAAACTCTGCACTAGAAAAGAAAACTTGGGAAGAAAAAAGAAAACGTGGGGAACAGATAAGGGGGGCAGTGATAATGGAGAGAGAAGGGAAGGCAAAAAGGCATGGATTTCTGGGTTTTTTCCAGGCAAGACAAATATTTTCACAAATGCCTGATTATCAGCAATATCACTTAGAAATATAAAATTCTGGCTTTAGATAAGACATTTGGAGTAAAGTTATCTCGTCTATTCACATTTCTCTTTTATCTACTGCCTTTTCAGGACCAAGAAGTGTGCCTAACATATAATAGATGCTTATTAAATATTTTTAAATTTATTTATTGATTTTAGAGAGTGAGGAAGGGAGGGTGAGAGACATCCATTTATTGTTCCACGTATTTAATGCATTCATTGGTTGATTCTTGTATGTGCCCTGACCAGAGATTGAACTCGCAACCCTTAGTGTAACAGGACCACCTTCTAACCAACTGAGCTGCCCTGCCAGGGCTCATTAAATATTTTTGAATGAATGAATTATATATCAAGAAACTGAGGCCCAGAGATGTTAAGGGGCTTGCTCAAGGTCACAGAGGTAGTTGAAACCCAGTTATTTTAGGCTCCCAATTGGGTGAAGTGCCAGCCAGTTTCTTCTCATGACCCATTGAAATTGCCTCCTTAGGTTCCCAAGCACTTAGGTTCAACATTCCTTGCTGAATAAGATATTCCCTAGGAGCCTTGCCTGGTGTAGCTCAGTGGCTTGAACACCGGCCTGCAAACCAAATGGTTTGCTGGCTCGATTCCCAGTCAGGGACATGCCTGGGTTGCTGGCCAGGTCCCCAGTAGGGGGCGTGTGAAAGGCAACCACACATTCCTGTTTCTCTCCTTCTCTTTCTCCCTACCTTCCCCTCTCTCTAAAAATTAATAAATAAAATATTTTTAAAAATAAGGCAAATAAAGAAATAGCATACTCCAAACAAATGACAAGTTAATCACAAGCAAGGGGAGGTAAAAGGAATAAGGTCCGAACTTAGAGGTGTACCATTTCATTCAAGTTTGGTTTCTTGGGAGAGATGGCTTAACCATACGTAAGCTGACTTTCAGCTACAAGAGCAAAATGAAAGTCCCTTGTTGCCAGAGCATATTACTAGGGAATGAAGACACCAGTGTTGGCAGACAGGCTATGCTTCTCTGAAGGCTGTCACTCTGGGGACTATCACACAGTTTCACACCACCAGCAACAAGTCTACTTGGCCACAGCAGGAGCAACTGTTTCAAGATCTCTGGAGAACTATTAAGTCAGCAAAACATCCCTTTGACCAGACCAAAACTCTTGAACCATCCTCACAAGCTTTCAGTTTTATAGTCTGAATGTCCCTTGGCCGTAGATGGATTAAAATAATTTTACTTGTCATAAACAAATGGATTTGAAATGATGTCAAACCAATGCACAACAGACTCCTACCTTTCTGTTGGATAATCATTGGTTTTCTAGCCTATCTCTCTAGTGAGCTGCAAGAAACTTGAGGGCTGGAATATGTCCTTATTCTGTTCCTTAGATTCAGATCCCAGCAAATATGTCAGTTGTTTTTAATTGAAGGCTTTCTTTTAAAGTGCCAACTTCTCTGCTTTACTCACATGTTTTTAGCCATATTGTTTTAGGAAAGGGATCCAAGTATAGATACACCAAGGTACAACCTCCAGGGCTGGATCCTGTAGGAAAGAATATAGAGGGCATTCTGAAAAGAAGGAGAATGCCAGGCATTGGGACACAAGGGAGACCAGACACTACATGCTCCTGGAAAGCAAAGAGATATATAAGGCTTTGGAGAAAAATGTAATAAAACACAATTATACACATGTAATGAGCATACACAGGAACACACACATACAGACACAGATTTTAGCTGAAGTATGGGATATACAACTTTAAAAAGAATAAGGCATTTCTACATGCACTGGTATGAAACAATCTTCAAAATAATATTTAATAAAATAGGCAAGATGCAGAACAGTAAACTATGCTACCATTTGGATGTGCATAGATTATCATCAGACAGATATAAGAAACTAACAGTGGTAGCCTGGAAGGAGAACTAGAGGCTGGGAAACAAGAATGGAAGGGATGAAAAAAAAGATTGCAAAGGAGAATTAATTTCTATGGCATTTCTCTTTTATTCTATGTGAGATTTTATCGTGCTCATGTGAAATAGGTGTTTCCCTTTTCCCTCATATTTCTTCTGAATGGTCTAATAATCAAATTGACATGAGCCAGATTAATAGGACAAAATAACCAAAGTTAATTATGTATGTACATACAGGGGTTCAGTGAGACTATGGGACCCCAGGACAAATGGGACAGTTGAGGCTTATATGCCATCTTGAGCTAAGGAGACTTCAAAGGGAAGGTGGGCAATTCACAGATAGATGAGAAGGACCAAACATTTGGTGAACAAATTCTTGCCAGGGCCATTCAGAAACAATGGGGAGTCAAACATAAAGACTTTGCTGGTTCCTCCCTGGCTGCCACACTTAGTACATATTAAAGTATAAGTATATGTGACGATCGTTTTCCTACTAAAGCAGGTCTTCTATCTAATTTTTTTAAACAGTTAGGGGTAATGTCAAAGTTTCTTTCTGAGTCTTTTATTTTTCTTAAAAATAAAAAGCTTAAAATAATAATATCCTAATAAAGGCATATTTTGGTGTGTCAAACTCTGCTCTTCCTCACTCATGTGTTACCTATATATATATATAGAAAGGAGAGGCAAAAATGCAAGTGAGGAAGGGGTGGGGCCTGGTGAGGGAGTAATCGGGTGTGGCAATGAGGGCACTAGAAGGACAGGAAGTAGGCTCAGGGACCAGCCTTGCAAACTGAGAAGGCTGACCACATTGTATTTTAAGGGCAATTACTCTTCAATCCTACTAGCTTGCACCACTAGAAATAGTATAATTCACTAAAGAAATGTAAGTTGAATGTAGAAAAATAATAAATCAGGCACTTTTAAAACCAATTAGCATAGGAATTCAGGGTTAGGTAGATCAAAGATTGTAGCCCTGGTTCCCAAGGGATTTGGGTGTGACTCTGCCTTGTGGAATGTGAGCAATTTATCAACAAAGGCACTGCCCTGTTTGTTCTTTCGGATAAACCACCCGAGACTCCAATTTAACCTTTTTTTTTTAATATGGAAGATAATGTAATGTCATTAAATTAACATTTTAAATAATCTGCAACCTTAAACAGCTGAATCAAACATTTTCTGGCTGGGGGCATTGATGGTGGAGGAAGGTAGAAGGGGATAAAGAGAGTATGAATGGTGACAGAAAATGACTTGGGGTGGTGAACACACAATACAGTATACAGATGATATATTATAGAATTGTATAGTTGAGACCTATATAATTTTATTAACTATGTCACGCCATTAAATTAAAACATTTTTTAAAACATCTTTTTTCTAGCCCATTAAGAAGGTGTGAGAGGAGCCCTGGCTGAGTAGCTAAATTGGTTAGAGCGTCATCCAGATATGCCAAGTTTGCTGGTTCCATCTTCAGTCAGAGCACTCATAAGAAGCAACCAATGAGTGCATAAATAGGTGGAACAACAAATCGATATTTCTTTCTCTTTCTCCAAAATCAATCAATAAAAAAATTTTTAAATTATTCTATTGTTGTTCAGTTACAGATGTCTGTGTTTACTCCCCGCCACTCCCCCACACCCCAGTCAAACGCTCCTCTTTCCCTTGCTACCATCTCCCCTTGGTTATGTCCATGTGCCTTTTATAGTTGTTTCTGAAAATGCTTCCCAATAAAAAAAATTTAAAGAAATGAATGAATAAATAAGAAGAACCAATGAATGCATAACTTAATAAAACAACCAATCGATGTTTCTCTCTCTTCTCTCTAGAATAATCAATCAAGAAAAAAATTTTAAGGAAAAAAGAAAAGGCGTCAGAGGAAGAGACACCTCATACTCTAATGCCAGTGGGTTGTTTGCCATTTTACCCTAATTCACCATATTACTGAACTTTCATTGGAAAGCCTAGATTCAGCTCCTTAGGCAGCTCATGAGGCCTTACATTTGCAAAACAAATTCCAACTGCAAAGGGAATTCCTTCAGTTAAAAAATGGGCTTCATCACATACTTTTTCTTTAAGCAAATACAAAAGAGTTGACTTTCTTTAGCATCTGCATCTTAATCAAGTCTTTATTTCAAAATATAGGTAGATAAGATAGTTTGGCTTCTTGCACTAACTTTTGATATTGAATCAAGCTGCACTCACACATCTAGAGCAGTCTTGAAATACCTATGCAAATGAATGGGGAAGCTGGTAGGTATGGGATGGGTCTAGACCGCAAAAACCTGTATTGCTCAATCTGAATGGGTGGGGACTGGAGCCAAATGTGAAATGACTTCCCTGGTCCTCAATCTCCCAGGATGGTCAAGGGGCAGATAAATGTTTTTTTACAAGATCAAAACTTACACTGTCAGAGGGTTCAGGGATGTTCCACCCAAACTAAACTTTCAGAATGAAATCAAGTATCTGTCAAGTGTCTTCCCTTTTTTTTAAGTGTCTTCCTAATACCTACTCAGAGAAATTCATACAAGGCAGTGATTCTCAAATTCCAATAATATGCAGACTCATTGGAGGTTAAAAAAATTATTCCCAGACCCTTCAGATTATTTACTTCTTCATTCCCTCAGCAACAGTCCCCAGCACTGGAATAAGTGGTGGGGACAGAAAGGTGAACAAAACAACATGATTCCTACAGCATATGCTGCAGAGAAAGAAAGTCATTCATGAAGTCATCACATGATTAACTGTAAATTACAGCTGAGTGCCAGAAGGTGGGGGAGCCTATGCTAAAAGTAAATAATAATGGGGAAATTAACTGAGAGGGGAAAGCAAATGTATCCCTAAGGAAGAGAAAACTTGTTTTGGTCTGAAAGATTAGAGGAGGCAAAGAGTGAGGGCAAGAAGTTTCAAAATCAGAACAGCTAAGGCAAGGGTCCTGTGGCAGGAGGGAACATGTCCATTCGTATCTGAATTTTTTTTTTTTCTGAGCAGGTTTTATTACACAGAGGGCATGGGGCTCGGTCCTTCTCGGCTGCTGCCTTCTTCATGGCTGCAGGGACATTGCTCAGATCCTCTCTCTTCCTCTTGGCACAGATGTGTGTTCCCACCCTTTTCTTGATGAATTTCAAGGCCCTCTTGTCCTTACAGACTTTGAGCAGCTCCATGGCGTGCCGCTCATAGAGGGCCACATCTCCGATCATGTCCCGCACAAACTTGGTGTACTTGGTGAGGCTCCCTTGTCGACAGCTGTGCCTCGGCTTGCTCACATTCTCTGTCACTTTGTGGCCCTTGTTCAGGCCCACGGCCATGGGATAGTGGAGAGCCATGGCTGCTGTTCCTCAATGGTGGCTGTGGTGGAAGGCTTAATTTTTTCATTTAATCTTCCTAATAGCCAAATGAAATAGATCTATTATTATATGCACTTTTCAGATGAGGAAACTGAAGCTCAGCCTTACCAGACTGTGAACTCCTTGGGGACAGAGTATGGGTATAGTGTTTATTTTTATACCTCCCACAGTTGACACAGGGCCTTGCTCTGAGTGAGTCTTCAGTAAATGTGTATTTGTTCCTTCACCTGAATCCACATAACCAACAAGTACTGAAGCAGGAACTCAACACCATCTGTTGAGAACAATAGCTCCTGTGCCTTCCACACCACACTAACTTCTGTCCTTCAGCCTCCCTGCATTCTATTCCTCCAGAATTTTAGTTAATTCACTCTTTTCTAGGAATATGCAACTTATGGCTCGACCATGTATGGCAGCAAATAACTTTTTTTTTAAATTTTGTATTCAACCTTGAAAACCATTAAGTCATCTTTTGTGGGAAAAAAAAACAAACTGAAAAACACACCTGACTGTACATATAATTAAATGGCCTTGAGGATGTAATACAAGCCAACCAAAGCACAAAAATCCAGAGTTCACCCTGCAACAGCATCCTGAAATTGTGTCTCCACTTCCACTTTGATTCTTTGAACGAGCTTCCCAGGTGTTATTTCCCAGTGATGACATGACTCAACATCTGGAGCTCTGGGTTGCTCTGAATAGTGAGGACACTATCTTAACACACTTTAGTCCAGGCAGCTTAATGTAGGGTCTCTGAAACAGTAAAACATGCATTTTACACTACAACCTTAGTGTATGTGTATGCATTTTTATAATATAAGCTGAAATAAAAATGTGATGGAATAACACCCTTAATACATGAGAGGCACTCTGCTGTTTTCTAGCCCATTTCTGTTTTCTCTTCTATTTGATTTCATGTTTTAAGAATTGTAGTTGCAATCCGCCAAGTTAATTTTACCTCCCATTGAGTCTTGCAGTTTGAAAAACATTGGCCCAATACATATGAAGAAGTTGATACTTCTTGAATACAGTAATAGGAACAGTTTATTTATCTGTGTCCTTAGCACCTATCACCCTCTTTTTCCTCCTGAACAAATGAGGGGGTGAATACCCACCGTGTGCAGGTGAACTAGGAACCGGGAATGCAACCATGGCCAAAACTGGGAACCAAAGCTAAAAGGATCTTTGCCATGGTGGAACTTACAGCCTATTGAGGGAAACAGACTTTCAAATCAAATTTAAAACAATTTTTTAAAATTACAAATTGCTATGAGAATATCAGTCATATAGATGCAACTTAATGTTTGGGGTCAGGGAAGGCACCTCTCAGGGTAGGAGACATTTAAGCTGACATCTAAAGTCCAAGTAGGGGTTAGTCACATAGGATTTGAGAGGCAAGAGAGTGGGGAAAGCATTCTGAGCAGAGGAGAGCATCCATGTCAATGAACAGAGGCAAGAAGGAGTTGGGTACATGTGAAATCCCTCCCCAGAAAGGGCCTGAGCTCTGCTGTTTCTGTCCCCACTTTTCCTTTGGAAACTCCAATTTCCATGGCCACAGTGATGTGTGTGATTGGTTCAGTGAGGAGCCAGTGACCCAACTGGGCCAAAGTCATCTTTATAATTGGTATATGAAAAGAATCTCATTCTCTGTGACTACAGACATAAGACTAAATGAAGCTAGAGTTGCCTTCCATTGTATAAAGAGAATAGGTCAGAAAATGAAGCTGAAATACAGAAAAAAGGAGACTTACCAGCAGGAGCAAGAAAGAGAGAGAACATCATTTGAAACTGAGTCCACATAGGCCTAAAAGCTAGCAGATCAGCAACACTTCACAAGTGTTTGAGCTAATGACATCACTCTTCCGTAGTGCTGGTTTCAGTTGATTCTCTGTTATTTGTAACTAACTACAAGTGTGAAAGGAAGAGTAGAAAGCCAATTAATTTATTTCTAAAAATAAGAACAGACACAATTGTTCCATGAACAGGAAATTTGCCTGAATATGCCAGGTTTCAGAGGTTCCAGATTTATGAGGTCGGTCAGTCTGTCTTTTCTTCTTTTTTTTAATGATTTTATTTATTTATTTATTTATTTTTAGAGAGAGAAGAAAGGAGGGAAGAAGAGAGGGGGAGAAACACCAATGTGTGAGAGAAACATTGACCATAGGCTTGTTTCATGCCTCTAACTGGGGACCTGGCCTACAACCCAGGCATGTGCCCTGACCAGGAATCAAACTGGCAGTCTTTTGGTCTGCAGGCCAGTGCTCAATCCACTGAGCCATGCCAGCCAGGGCTTGTTCTCTCTCTCTCTCTCTCTCTCTCTCTCTCTCTCTCTCTCTCTCTCTCTCTCTCTCTCTCTCTCTCTCTCTCTCTCTCTCTCTCTCTCTCTCTCTCTCTCTCTCTCTCTCTCTCTCCCTTCCTTCCTTCCTTCCTTCCTTCCTTCCTTCCTTCCTTCCTTCCTTCCTTCCTTCCTTCCTTCCTTCCTTCCCTTTTTCCTTTCTTTCTCTTTCTCCTTTCTTTCATCAGCTGTGTGGAGAAATGTTAGTGGAGTTTATAGAGAAAGCAGGGAAGCTGTGACATATTCTTAGCTATAAAAATATGGGCTGGTGTGGCTCAGTGGACTGAATGGGAACCTCTGAACCAGAGGGTCACTGGTTTGATTTGCAGGTCAGGTCCCCAGTGGGGGGCGTGCAAGAAGCAACCACACATTAATGTGTCTCTCCCTATCTTTCTCCCTCCCTTCCCTTCTCTCTAAAAATAAATAAAACCTTTTTAAAAATCTAGTTAGAATGGCTTAGACCAGGGTGTGATGGCGGTGATAGAGATGAAGAGAAGCAAATTTAAGAACAATTTTAGTAGAGGTGGTAGGACTTGGTCATGGATTAGATGGATATAAGGGGCTAAACTATCAAGATGAATGAATAAAATGGATAATTTAATATAGTACTGAGTCCAACAGTCACAGAAGAGTTGGTATGTCTTAGACCCCCCGGATGGGAGGAGCTGGGGCAAAGTCTGCTTTCAAGGAGCTTAAGGCAGGGGAGATCCTAAGTTTCAGAAAAGAAAAACAAACAAACAAAACCCAAGAACCCTGGGAATAGTGAAGGGGTCACCTGGAATTGAGACAATTAGTTTTGTAGACATAAGGGGCATGTGCCTTGCCTTTGTAAAACAGGATTTATGCTAACTGTGGGAATCTGGTCTGTCAGCCCCCAAGGTTGTTTTGATCAGGGGAAGAATTTGGCAGGGGGAGGGTGCTGGATAAGGGAAAGGCAGAAAGATGGGGGCAAAATGTCTGCAGGATGGGAGTCCACACTGAATTTCATGGTTATAACCAGCCAAATGGACTTGGAGAAACAGGGATATGAGAGTAGGTGTTCTCTAAGCCAGCTATTTCAGAGGCCATGGCAGCAAAAGGCTCTCAAACCAGGTTAAACACTCAAATCACATGCTTTATTAAAAAGCAAGGAAAAACACATAGGGAAAGGCAAGGGGAAAGGGAAGGGGAGAGGTTGACACATTTAGGGTAGATGCAAACGGATGGAAGCATGACAGAAACTGAATTCTGAGGGATATTCTGTTAGTATGTTGTCTCTTGGCCACATCAGCCTTCCCTGCTAATGGCGCAGTTAGGACCAGGGTTGTGGCCTGAACAAAGGTGTGCCCGCAGAAGCAGATGGAAGTTTCCCTGGATCAATGACACACTAATGGCAAAAAATACACAGCTCAGTATACCTGGCCACCAAGGTAGCTTACCAATTAGCCTGATGATCAGCTATGGATTTTATTTGTATTTTGTGGGGAGTGGATGGGGCCAGAATGGTTGTCATTCTCAACACTGAGACTTCATATATGAATATTTAGGATCTCATGAATATTTAGAGTTCCAGTGCCTCATGTGCATTTAGTACCTCAAGAATATTAGTTATCTCTTGGTCCTTCCATCCTATGTTTATATAGAAACACATCTTGTACTTATTATCCTCACTTAACACATTTCTAAATAATTTTTACTTTATTTTACAAGCTATCAACTTATTTATTTTCTAAATAAATCAAATAGTATATGAAGCAAATGCATATTACAATAGGACTTCCAGATATCCAAGTCAGAGAAACCTCTGTGATTTGGGAAAGAAGGCTTGGGGAATGCTCTTTAACACCAAAGAAGGAAAAGACTTTCTCCCCTAGGAGGCAAGAGCAGAACTGGGAGGGGAAGTGGTGTAGCCAGATCCTTCTAAGGGGTGCTCAGGAGCCAGTGGCCAGAAGTGTGACAAGGAAAGCAGCTGAGACAAGCAGATGAAGCCTAGCATCCAACCCAGACAGGCAAGATTGCTGACACACAGACTTGAAGATAGCAACTTTTCCCTAAGGCCCCCTAGAAGGAGAACTCTGGGAAAAGGTGAGAGGAAGCCCAGCCAGGCCCAGCCCAGCCAGGCCCAGCCCAGCTAAGCCCTGCTTTCTGCCCTGTGAAACAAGACCAGCTTATGCCAGGTCTCCCCAGTTTTCTTGCAAATCTGTAACTTCCTTAAAGTTAGTTATTTCCGTTGCTCTTTGTTTCCCTGCAGCACAACTAGTAGAATGGATAGGGTTTAAGCAAAGAAAAGAGGAGGTACAAGGGGGATTGGTTGCCTATTTAAAAGTTGACCTGCAGAGCTGAGAGCAGCCCCTGATGAGTGGGGGAGGAGGTGACTGTGAAGTCTATGATAGCCCTTGGGAGCCTGTGGGGAGAGCTGGAAAAACCTACTACATCCCAACGGAGGTGGGAAAGCTGGATGGGGCTGGGTAGGGGTGGATGTGGGAGTGAGAACTCTGACTGGCAGAGCTCAGCTAGCCCCTCAGAGGGTAGCTGGGCTTTTCCAAACCACTTTGCTTTGTAGTCTGAGGTATATGAACTGCCTGCTGTGGGAAGTAGTTCTGCCCCCACCCCTCCAGGCTCCCACCCTCTCCCTGCCGCCTCTCTAATCACTGTACATTCATTGTCTGTTCTTTGTAGGTCTCTCCAGCCAGACCATGAGCATCCTGGGAGCAGGCACTGTGTCTGATTCACCTCTGTCTGCTTCACAATGTGGCCCAGCGTGGGGCCTGACACTTGGAAGTTTCTCAAAGACTTACTTGTTGAATGAACAAACAAATGAATGCTTTCTCCCAACTACGCTGTACTCTAGATGGGATTTACAAAGAAGGAAAAGGCTAATCGCTGCTCTCTACTCCTTCCACCACTTACCCAGAATTCGAGGAGGCAGTGAGTCCCTAAGGTTTGTTTTCTATGTTTACGTGCATTTTCCTGGAGATATGATTCTATCTAATTTATCAGATTTTAAAAGGGGTGCCTATCCCCCAGAAAGGATAAGAATAATCATTTGAGAAAATAGTTCCAGGACAGGGATTCTTACATACATGTTCTCACATTGATTTTCTGAACCACATTACTTTTCCTCGCAGCACTACTGTTTTCTTCCTGTATGTAATCTCTTCAGTTTGTTATTTTGTAATGTCAGGTTCTCTCATTCACCTACGTGATGACAAGGTGCTGATGGAGTTCAGAACATGGTACCCTGAAATATGGCACCTTGGCATATTAAATATCTAAAGCTGAAGGAATTTCCCAAAGTGGCAGAAGCAAGAGGGTCACTCTGAGCTCCCCCCCACCACCCCGTGTCCCTGAAACAGGTCATAGAACTCTCCTGGGGAAAGTACCTGCCCTATACCAGGAGGAAGGAGGACATTCTTGTCTCCAGGGACAGGGAATCTGGAGCCAAGACTGCATAGGCAAACCTTATTAAACTAAACCTTATCTTCTTAATTACTTCTTCACTGTTTACTATTCCTAGCCCAAACTGCTTGTCTTGTCAATTCTTCACAAGTGCTCTGGCAACCACTTCAGCTTTTCATTCCCTTGTGAAGGCTCCCAGGTACATGTAAAATTTTAATAAAATCTGTATGTTTTTCTCTCGCTACTCTGTCTTTGCTAGTTTAATTTTCAGACTCAGCCAGGCACCCTAAGAGGGTGGAGGGAAACTTTTTCCTCCCCTAAAATGCCATAACCTTTGAATTCTCCCAGAACCTCCCTTCACTGCTTCGGCCAAGGCACGCTTATTGATTTCTTTCATGCTCTTGGCTCAGTGGCAGTGTTTTGCAGGTGGAAAGGCAGCGCAGATTGGGTGTGGGGCTTGCTGGAAGTGAGACCTCAAGGGCAGAGGCGGAACCAGGAAGAGAGTTGCTGAGATATCCTGCTACCTAATTCAATTCTCCTCCACTGTTCAGCAGCCTCCCTTCTCTCTGCATAACAATGAAAGGAAAGAGGAAGTGGGGAAAAAAAAGGTCCTGTAATTGAGTTAGAAGGGGTAATTACCCGGACCCAGAAGCAGAGGGAAAGTAACTCCCAGAAAGGAGTGTTAAAATCAGCACACAAAGGTGACAAGTGGGGGAATTAATAAGAAGTATTCACTTGTGTGGGGAAGAAAAAGGGAAAAACCTCAGTGCTGAATTGGACAGGCACTGGGGAAACCTGAGGCAGGCAGCAAGGACTGGGCCAGGGCAGGTCTGTGGCAGGAAGAGAGAAAGCCACCAGCCAGGCAGGGACTTTGCCGTGGCTGCTGCTGTGGCTTCATTTTGAGTATCGGTGCCTCAAGGGAGGAATGAGTCAGTCTCACCAGATCCAAGTTTAGGAGGAACAGCCGCTGGGAAGGCACTGGGCAAATACTTTTTCAGTAAGAAGGCTAGCTGACCATTCCAATGAGAAGTCCCACAGACTGGGGAAACTAAGTTGGCGCTGGACTCTGCCTGAAGAACTCATTCGCATGGAGACTGAACACGGGATGCTGTTTTAAACTCCCCTTCCTCTGCCAGG